TTGTTGAGTTAGCAATAAAGAAATTATAATTATATAACCATTTGCAATCAGGAAATGAAAGACTCCAAATAGTTATATCAAATAATTTGTGTGGAAATTATTCAACTGTTAAAATAATTGAAATTAATTTAGTACAGAGATTAGCTTACTCAAGAATGGTAATACTTCAAAATAATTTGATATTACTTATCGAGTATCTAATCATTTATATGAAGTATATAAATGGCAGTTTCTAAGATTCTTGGACAGTTAGGTACAGTATTGGAAGCAATATGCGCACAATATCATATTTGATCTGATCAAAGATATCATAATAGAATTAATTTTGGATTTGAAAATGCGGCCTGCTCGAAAAAACAATTTACTACGAGTATGCAGAGAGCCTAGTAGAGGGGTTGAAGGAACAATAATTTATTACTTAATAGTTGTTAACCATATATTATGTCTCTATACTTCAAATGTTGATCCTGAGTACGACTGAGATTATTAAAAAATATAACCTTGATTACTTGTTAACTGTATTACTTAACTTACTTTGTGGATATTCAAATGCAACCAAAGCAAGGAAAAATGTTATAATACCCCACCGGTGCATTTTTTTATTGCATTAAAGTGTAAAAAAGATCTTTGTCTTGATTTTGATCGATCTGTTTGTGTGGTAGCCATAGTGGTCCGATCTGAACAATATGTTTAGAGAAGTTCGCGTTATCTTGAAAAATTATCTATGTCAAATTTCTTGATGATAATGTCTTAAATAAAACAGTTTTGCATAAAAGGACATGATTTTGATATGCCATAGTGATCGGATATCGGTGATTCCAATAAATGAACTTCTTGGCAAGAATTGTGCAAAATTTCAGAATGATATCTCAAAAACTGTTGACTAATTCACGTATACACAGATAGATAGACTTGACTAATCGATTTTCATGGTATAACAAAAGCACGAAAAAAAGTCTACTTGTCTCATATTAACTACGTGTATACAAAAGGTATATTAACTATCAATTATACTAAGACATGGTATATAATAATATATATAATAAAGGATTTTAAATGATCTTTGTTAAAAAGGGCGCGGTTCGGATGCTATCCAGCGTCATCTGTTGTTAAAAGTTAGGGTTTAAGCTTTTATCACCAAAAAATGCTAGATGCATTTGATCCATGTGTGGAGGAACAAGGATCTCGGATATCGGCAAACCGAATCTACGAAACTTGGTTTTAGATGCCATGGACAAAGCTATATGCTAAGGTTTAAACTGATATTAAGAGTTAAAAAGGTTAACAGATTTGGGGCTAAAAAGTTCAGATTGGTATTTTTTTTACTTTATTAAAACAAAGTTTACAATAATGGTGTCTGTACAAACATAAAATATGGGATTTAATAATTAGATTTATTAGGATAAAAATCGAGATGATGTTGTAATATAATATATCAGTGGACCGACTATGTATATCAATAATTCCTTATCTAGATCTTAATCCTAAGGAAAACTAAAACAGTTACAAAACTTGTAGACGGAATATTTTCGCTGAAGATATTTCAGGGTACATGATTAAAGACTGGCTTCAGAAATTTTTTTAAGTGAAATTAGCATTTCAGCGGTGTTAACTTGACATTCAACAATAAAAAAAAAATGTGAGAAAAAAATAACAGTAATATAATATATAAACACGAATCCTTCTATTTAGTTTTGGGCATCAAGTCTCAAAGACGTCAAAATGTCCTTTTGGTTTATAAAATATTTTTGAGGAATAAGTGGGTTCAAAATTAAAGTTAACTCATAAACAAACAAGCTTTTAAAAATTTATAAGTTACTCTGAAATAATCTCAGTATGCAAAATAGTAGCAGAGAATCCTTTAAATATTCAGAAAACCAAGACATTATTGTTAAATTAGCAACATACAATACATTTAATGGCCACATATCTAAATGCAGTAGGTGTAGAAAATTACCACCCACTTGAGTACCAACAACGAGCAACAACACATCGCACGCCAGTAATTTATTGAACATTTAACAGCGCATAAAATCGCAGCAAAACAAGCAAATTAACAGTGTCATTATCGTTTGCCAGAAGGCGTGCTTGCAGCAATAGTAATGAGAACAGAAACAAGCACTCAAAACGGCCTTGCCACTCGCAATGTCACAAGCGCGCATATTGCATGCAGTATGTGCAACCACTTGTTGCAGCAGCCGTAAGCCATAACGCATGCACATAAAAACCAGCGACAAGCAGAGATAAATGCTTTAGTCTATACGTATATAAATGTATGTAGATATATAGTATATGGATATATAAGCGACCGGCAGCGTTGTAATGCGCTTACATGCCTCGTGGCCAATTGTAAATATGTGGTGCACGCACTTACACACCTTCAATGGATAATATAAACTGATATGAGAAGCGATGCATGTGCATGTATGTGTGTTTGTGTATAAGTATGCGATATGCACATAAACCACTAAATTTGATTATGGCCACAAATCTGGTGTTGCCGACAGCATTTAGCTAGCACCCGATTGGTGGCAACAGCGCGTTACAGTGCATTTGTGGCAATGTTAACAATAACAAAAACAACAAAAAACGATGTAAAAGCACAAAAGCAAAATAACAGCTGGAGCAAAGTGTCATGATCCGCTCAACTATGCCACTTAACAATACGATTGCTGCAACAACAACAGCGATAGCATTGGCATTAGAAGCTACGCATTGCACACTGCTTTGGCACAACAACAGCAAGCAGTTTAATAGCACCCAAGCGCTTTAATGCGCCAGAAAAGTTAGCTGCAGCACTACAATGGACTTAGCATCTAACTCGCACAAGTCACGAAGTTGTAGCTTCCAGCGGCAAAAGCTATGCATACAAATACATACATACATACGTGATCACCGCACTTAACAGCACCGATGGAGGGGATGCTGCTTAAAATCATAAAATTTTCAAATTAATGCTGTGCGTGATTACTCTGCTCTATTCGACTTTGCTCTGGCAAGTTCCCCACATTTCTTTCTGTTTGTATGTGTGTGTGTGTGTTATTGAAGCAGAGCAGTGCAGCGGCGGCGCATGGGGAGCGATAAAGAAAGTCTTTTTCTAATGCATTGCAGTTGCTTGACTACTACTCACACACACACATACTGACGCACATGGATTTTGTTGCATGAAATAAAATAAATATCCAGCGATTTAGTATAAAGCTTCGGTGTACATTTGTATGTGTTCGCATAAGCAATAAAACGTTTTGGAAGGAATTTAGAAAATTTGTACGTTTTAAAAGCTTATAATCATAAAGTTGCTAATTAATTGCATTTACTAGTATGTATTATATTTTATTATGGGTTGTTATACCACTTTGCTCGTGGTGAGAAATTTTGTGGTAGCTTTAAAAAGAGAGCATTAGACGAAAACTGTGTACCATTTTGTATGCCGGAATAATCGGTTTACACGCTGGCTTAAAGTTGTTAATTAAAAGTTCTATTATTTTACTCAAGCCACGTCACAAGTATGCTACAAGTGTAATAAACTGTGTAGAGTCGAGCTATGAAACTATGAAATACTTCTGTAAGCTCTTATTAAAATGTTTCTCAACAAAAAATTTGTAAGCAAGGATCATATACATGGCGCTCTACAAGCATCAAGACATTTCAATAAAATTGTTAAAGAGGAAAGAGAATGCATTGCTGAGAGAACACATATGAGTATTTTCTTCCATCTGAAGTGCCCTTAACTCAAAAGAAATTTCCAGTAGACTACAATCTGATCAAATTTGATGCGTACTGACAAAAATATTCAATAAGTATTGCCTTCGAAGTAAGCTTCTGAGCCAATACAAGCATGCCAACGCATAATCCAATTTCCCATACAATTGCTTCAAGAGTCGGCTGAGATGGCCTTCAGGATAAATGAAGGGTCCTTAGGTTTTCAAATATTTCGCTATTTCGGTACGATTCTAGCATTGACACGTTTCATACCCAAAATATTAACACAAATGTATTGGTGCGTGGATAAGTCGTAATACAGTAGACTCCCGAAAAGACTGCAGCAACATTTTCAACGATTCCGTAGCCTTGAATCCATTGGAAAACCAAAATTTCAAACAAACTCGTTGTTCATTTATTTTTTTTTTTTTAGTATTAAAAATTTACAGACAAACTTTTTTTGAAGATAAATTTAAATAAAAATACCTCATTACTTAAAAAGAAAACATACTTGCTCCTATTATTATAAGTTTATTTGCAAAAAATTGTGTTTCGAAATCCAATCCAATCTTAAAAGCTATTGTGAGAGTGACAAGGAATATGCAGTTAGGTTACTAAGCGTCTCTGTGAATAACCTCACCTACATAGGTGGAAATAGAGAAATACTTCTTGAGTCGATTGAGGCTATAATAATAATAAAATATTAACAAAGGCATAAATGCATAAATGCACTAAAAGCCTAAAAATATATTATTTTCGGGTAATATCATCGATATCGTTATCAATTCGAGTATCGTAATCGAAATTCTATTTTCGGTTACGATCATATAATAAAATAAATATATAACCGTAATGTAACATTTCTTAGCCAAATTACTAATTGCCCCATGAACATTGCAAATGGCTTTCTTTGTTGTGTCATCGTTTGCTGTCCCATTTTTGTGTAAACTCCCACATTTTCAGCATTTTAACGGGCATTAGCGAAGCAATTATTCAGATTTTCAGCAAGCAGTTACAAATTTGTTGTCGTCTTCCACAATGCTTTCACAATTCCCAATAAATGCAGCACATTCTTAAAGCTTAATATGAAAGCGCAAAATAAAAATAAAGAGTGATATATGGATTTACGTGCATTTAACACCAGTCTGCGCGTGCGCAAAAAGGAATAATAAGGAAAATGCGTCGCCGCTGGTTGAAAATAGCAACGAGAATTAATATGACACTATGTATATACACGTACGCATACAAATAGAAATATAAATAAAATATATATGCATATATATAAATGTGCAACTTACATCCATGTCGGTACGCCCTGCAATCCGACGCAACCATCCAAAATGCCAGCCACGAGTACAAATGTCGTTATAATCCACAATGAAAAATGTTTCCTTTTAAGAAATTCCATTTTGACCATTTTAGAGTCACAGTCGCAGTCAGAGTTAAAGCGACGGCGACAGCAACAGCGACGACGGCGCTGGAGTTGAAGTTGACAACGAAGTCGGTGGCAAGCGCTGCTCAATAAGTTGCTGAAGATGTGGATGAATGCGAGATTGTCAGCGCGGTTCTTGTTGTTGTCGCAGTCACTGACTCAATGCTTGGAATTGGTTGTTGCGGAGTCGAAGTAGCAAGGATGCTGCGAGACGCTGTGAAGTAGTAAGCTGGCGACGTGGTAGCTGCCAACTGCGTGCTCTTATTGCTGTTGCAGTTGTTTTTTTTTTTATATTTATTTGATTAATATTTTTTACTTTATACCACTTTGACTCAACGATATATGCTCGTTTTTATTGGATTCGCGTAATTTTTATATACGCATTTTTTCGCTTGCAGCTTTACTTTGTGCACCGCTGCTTGTTTTGATCACGATTCGTTTTGCTTCCTTTCTACCTTTTCTTTTTTAATGGAATTTGAAGACTTTTCTTTGATTTCATTTTTTGTATTTTACTTTTAACACATTTTTTCACTGTATTTTTTCTTATTTTTTCTTATTTTTTCTTGAATAAACTGGTTAGCCTGTAATTACACAAAAAATATACAAACATTTATTATTAGATATTATTAATAACATTTTAGGCTGCTTGCCCTGCACGTAATATATATATCCGTTTCCGGTTGTATTAAGTGCAAAACGGTGATCGGTGGTCAACTCGCATTAACGCTCGGCGCTCATTCCACGCTTTTTTGTCCGCTCTTTCTGTTTTGTTTTTGGTTATTAATCACACTGTATTATCCTACTCATGCCGGCATACCGCCGCGCACCGCTCTGCTACACTACACCGCGCTGTCGTGGCGCGCTTTTCACTCCTCTTTCTTTTGACTTTTATTTTCTTTCATTCTTTTCCTCTCTTTTCACCGACTCACTGCAGCTTATTTTTACGTGACTTTTTAAATTACACAGCAGCAGCAGTAGCAGCAGCACTTGTCGAGTATATTTTGCGCGCACAATTTTTCATCATTTCTTGACACTAATGACATTTTATTATGGTTGTATTGCGCTCAAAGAAATTCAAGAAAAATCACATTAAAGAAATCAAGGCGCTGCACGGCACACACGGTCGTTGTAGTGAATAGCTAGTGAATGAAATGTTGCCTTTGAGCTCACCGCTCCAACACCAGCAGACGCATTCAAACACACACACGCACAATTGTTGTTTTAATATTTTTAGCTATAATTAAAGTATCATCAAACACATCACTGACAGCCATTTCTCAGTAGTTCATTTGTTTCATGTTGCTTTTTGTTATTGTTTTGTTTTGCATTCAACTTGGCATTATATTTTTCCTTTGAAAATACGTCACTCTTTGCTCTTTTATTTGTCTCACATTCACTTTGTGTTCGAAAAGTCGTAAATCCTTCAATTTCTAAGATTTGTGGTCCACACACATGGAAAGCTGTAAGAAAAATAACAAAAAGAGCAATTATTGGAGGAATTAACTTATTGTGGTTGCGGATTTATAAGAACTGTTAAATATTTATTTTTGTTTATTAAAACATTATTAGTTACAGAAGAACAATTTGTGGATCAAATAAAATACTGCAATTTAGTGATTTTGGTTAAAGTAATATAAAGTGAGAAAATTGTACACAATTTTCAGATTAAATGACAAGCTCACTAATGACTTTCGAATGCAGACATAAAATATAAATAATACTCAGAGAGAACTGTCAAACGGTCACTTTTTCTAGGATGGTACAATATTTTAGGTAAATTATAAGTATATATGTATAATATATTATGTGTTTATAGTATGAAAATATATTAGTAAGAAATATGAGTATGAAAACATTTATGGAACAACCTCGATACTATTTGACAAACATTGAGCCTGTATAGCCAAAACATAAACATATATTTATATATACTTGTATATTTTTTTACAAGTAAATATTTGCTCGAACTCATCCTTTTATAAGGACTACATTAAATTTTCATCTGCGATATTTGACCACATGACTATCTCGACATTATCGGCGAAAGAAGCGGTTTTCGTTCTCTGTCTTTGTCTAAGATCTGTACACTCTGTAGCAATGAAGAAACTAGATTACACTTTAAAGAGGTATCCGTACAAGAGAGTACGTATCAAATTCAACTCGGTGGCTTTGTTGTTGCTTTCATATCATTTTATTATATCCTAAATTTAATATACCCTGAAGTTTGCCACGAAGTTTGTGACACGCCGAAGGAAACGTCGGAGAACCTATAAAATATACATATTCATGATCAGCGACAAAAGCGGAGTCGATTTAGTCATTCCCGTCTCTCTGCCCGTCTGTATATATGAAAACTAGTTCCACAATATTTGAGATATCTGGAGATATCAGGAGTCTGCTCATTCTTTGAAACCGTCGATATTGGACCCCTATATGCTATATATGCATTATAAACTGATCGATCGAAATCAAGTTCTTGTTATGGTTATATTCTAAGAAAATACTACAACCTCCGTACAGATTATTCAGATTGAACTGCTTTTCCACTACCATAGGGTTCACTACATTTGTAAAAAAAACAAAAAAAAATTTTATATTATTGAGAATTAAAGACTTATAAACTTGTAAAATGATTACTAGATAGCTAGTTGAATGCTCGACTACCACTAAAGGCCATGAAGAGTTTTTATAACTAAAATTTACGAATAGGCATTCTTAACAGTTAACAAAACTACAGTGGGTATGGATATTTATTTGATCCTTAACTGATATTCACACATGTCCGGACAACTATCTATTCCGCTACACCATTCAAACCAAGTTTACTGTAATAAACATAAGTAACAAAAGGCAGTGGTATGAAAGACATCAAACAACAAACCCCAAAGGCTTCTTTATGCACGCTTAACATTATCAATTCGCATTTATAGAAAAGTTTATTTAATTCACTAAGCACAAATACAAACGCAGACACTATATACAAAACATGGCATGTGAATACAATTCGTTTCGGTCGGTCACGCTTGCTCAGTAAATCAATAAAATTGCACACATCAAAGTCATTGGGAACAAAAGCGAAAGCCGTAGCACGAAAAAAGACCCAAACAATAATCACAACAACAGCAATAACAAGAAGGGTAAAGTTTTGGCCAACATTTCATATGCTCGGCCAAAAACAAGCTTTGAGTGTGTATATGTTTTTGATATGTGCAATAATTTGCCCCTTACCCCTTAGGCACTCTTTTAATGTATCCTCATTGACTCACAACGGACTCGGCCGACTTTGTTGGAGTCAAAACACCATGCACCGTAGAGACCATTTAAATTGTCACTGGGGCTTACACACGCACACACAGGCATCTAGCATATACATACATATACGCTTACAACTGAATGGACAATCTGTGAATGCCGACACGCACGCGACAGTGCATATTTGTTTGTGTGAATGTGTGTGTGTCTTCCTGCCTTTTCGCCCACCGACTGCTGCTCACACTCTGCATGTGGCACCAAGTCAAAGAGTTATGAGCATGTTCATAAATTAAACGACTTCCCTTCGCCGCCAACTTCACCGCACACTTCGCATTAACCGTTACACAAGACTTTTGAGTTGCAACTCGTACACCTCAACTGCCACTTGCAACAACTTCCTGTGTATTTCAGTGTATACTTATGTATGCCTGCCACACTCATGTGCCTTTGCCACAGTTCGAGTAGATAAAAGTACTGCAAGTACAATGCAACATCCATACTTATTTACGTATATGCTTCTTGTGAGTTACTCCTTTATTATTGCTGAGATTGCTATTTGCTGTTTTCGCTCGTATTATTGTTGTACATGTTGTTGTTGCTCTACTTGGTGGTCAGTGTGTAATATTTTATGATATCTTTGGGATTTTCACTTCACAAGCATACTCATATATCAACAAACATTGCAATGGCAATAATAATCAAAGCCAATGGAGATTTGTGTGCCGGTACAGGGTGTGTGTGTTTGTTGGTGTGGAAAATTGGCAGTCATTTCTCGACTACAGGCGCACAAATAAGAAGCTATGATTTTTGGGGGTGTACTAGTTATATCATATGGCGGTCAGAAATCGTATTTAATTCTGAAACATATTTCAAAGGAAAATCCTTTTGAGAGGGTTTTTCCACCAAAGGTCTTTCTTAGGCTCAAAGTAGTACTAGGTTGCATAATAGCTTCTTGATTCATTCCTAACATTTTGGTATCCAAATTAAATCAGTATCAATTGTCTAGGTGGGATTACAACTTTAACCGTCAGCAAGATAAGCTCCTGATTTTAACCTTACCGAACTTACCTAATTGAGCCAGTTTACAAAAAAAAACCTTGTAATACACTTTTTAAAGACAGATCTTTCACTCCTATCCAGTAAAAAATATGAAAAATTTGTGTCTTAATAGCGTTCGCTTAAAATAATAAATTTTACCCTTACTGGAAGATATAATAGATTAATTTTGTAAGTGTATTAGGGTATTATCCGTCTGTAATATCGGGTAAAAAGTTATACAACTTGTATCACTAAAGAACTCTTACCACCCTTGAAAATGTCCCATAATGTCTTCTAGAAATCAACAGGCATGTTAAGAAGGTCTAGATTCTATTAAAGCTTTTTAGATCTTTGTACGCATCCATACAATTTTGACTACCCGATGATCTATGTTCTATATCTCTCTATATGTAACTGTATTTATTAGTCAAACTTGCTTTTATACCCTAGATCTTTAGAGCTTGTTTATAACAAATATAGTTTTCCATTCTACTACTAGCTATGCTTTCAACTAAATCTAGAAAAATCTCTATTTTTATTTCTGTCAGTAAGAATTCACTCACTTTCAAGTTCAATATAAAAGTAGTACCACAGTGAATCACTAAATTTTTTATTGCACTCAATGAACAGTTATGCCGACTTGTACGTTTGTCTGTGCGCTATTATGACTCACTTTTACACCTCCCTTTTGAGTTCCGGCGCTTATGAGATTTGTAAAATTGTGGTTTGTTCAATTTTCACAATTTTCATTCAGCTAACTTTTTGCAATCCATCAAAAGGCATTATAAACACACACAAACTGCCAACTGTGCGTGTGTGTGTCTATTTACACAATTTATTACCGACACATACGGCAACACATATAAATATTTCTTTGTGTTCAAAAATTATAAATTCTTCGGTTTTTGTGGTTATGACTTATTTTTATTTTTATTGCTTTGTCATAGGAAATCCATGAAGACATACAAAAGTACTTATACGAGAAGTATATTTACACATTTGAAAAGCGGAAATGGCAACATTGTGTGGGTGTTGAAAGCTAAACGAAATTTATACGAAAATGTTTACTTTTTCTTGTGTTTATTTATTTATTTACTTTTCTGTAAGAAATGTTGCATGTGGAAATCTTATTTGTCACGGGATTATTTGCATGCTTTCAATTGTGTCGTTTTACGATATTTATCTTTTAGATAGAAGCTAAATATGCCATTAATTTTGTGACAGAGTATAATTCTTACTGTTGGTTAAGAAAAATAAGGAAAAGGGAATTGTTTTTGGGCCCAATTTGGATTTATGGGCGAATTAGTTTAATTGACCTTCAGGGAATATTAAGATTTTTGGATTACGAGCAGATTCCTTAAGGTGTAATTTAGCGCTGGTAAGAGAATATGGAAGCAATTAGACAATAATTCTAGTTAGTCGTGACTAACTGAATTAAAATTGTAAGAAATACTCTACAATAGTTAAAAGTTATTGAATATCAGTAATTTTTTTTCGCTTCCTCTATACCAAATATAATATGTTGAGGGCTAATAGCACTCAGCATTATATTTTAGGTGCTAAAGGATTTTACATCAATCTCTCTAACTCTTAAAATTGAAATAAAATTTTGATTTAGAATGTTAAAACAAAATGGTTAAAACATTAATGCAGGTTTAATTCAGTGTTGCCACAAGAACGGTTTATAACAAATAAAGTGACGAAAGTTATGTCCGAACTTTTGACTTGGAAATTTTTAATTCCATTCAGCACAATATTCAGTAGCAATGCCATATTTGAAAATAAGTCGATCAACCTTATAATTAAGCATGATTTTTAAACAATAAATTCCATTTGCTGATTAGGAAATAAAAGAAACCCACTAGACCATAATAACCAAACTATGGGTAATTAAGACATAGAAAATCTAAAAATGGCTGTAGTACCTTCTTGGAAAAAATGCTGAAAGAGAAAAATAATTGGTTGCGCACAACAACGTGGGTGCCCAGACAACAGTATTAATAACAACATTAGCTCATTAGAAATATTATTGACCAAAAATGCACGAATTCCTGTCGCAATTAGTCACACGGTGTGAAAGGATACACTACACGAACGGCTATGTAATGAGCACATGTGCGTTTTTTGTTATCGCACATAAAAACCTCAATCATTTTTAATGACTCACAAACGTGACAAATGGCTGAAATTATTCACTTCTAATCCACAATTAACTTGCCTTAGACACACATTTATGTGTTGAACAAAGAATGTGGCAACAATGTAAACACATTTTATTAACACAAACGCACTTTTTATGTTTTTTTTTTCATTTTAAGAAAAAAATGCTGATAGTAATAATCTTTAATTGATTTTTAATGTTTCTGTTCCGTGATTATGGTATTTTATCAACGCTTAAGTGTCTCACATTGGACATAACAAAAAAATATGGTAAGCAATTGTGTCTTTAAACTACCCTATAGAGTGTGAGGTTATGGTGCGGT